AATGCTGAGACTGTGGAATGCAACAATTATGCGAAGGCATCCAGTGCGGAGTTGGACTGTCTGTAAGCGAAATGATATATCATCAATCGCAGCTTGACCAAGAGACAGAGGTATCTTAAATACCTTGAACATCACAGATGGTCCAGTTACCGGGTTGTATTTACCAGGCTCATGATTCGGGACGGAGGTTAGTAGAGTGGGTTTCCAAATTTCAGGGATCTCACCCATAAGCAAACAAGAATTAAAGATATCTGGTAACAGGATCATAAGGGAATCAGCACACTCTTTGAGTAAAACATGCGATAAAAGGTCAGAACCATTCGCCTTGCTTACCTTTGTTGCCTTTGATTGCAGATTATGGATTTAGAAAGTTTCAATTAACAATAAAAAGTTACTGGCAGCAGTAGACGGTAGAAACACAAATTGATTGGGGGAAACTAATTCCACTTAGGGTTTTCGAACACCTAATTTCTATTCATTAGTGTTTAATTTAATGATGCGTAGAATTTTAAGAATGCGGTACATATCACCGTAAGTGGTGCTCTCGAGGAGAGTTTTAGTGTGAGTCATATTCAGCTGTTGGAGTTCTGTTTCGATGTTCACCGAAACACGTCATACCTATGCTTTGCAGTTTCTATACTCATTTTGTCTGACGTTGCGGCTGCTTCACAGGGAGTGGAAGAAATCTTTCTATTCACATGTACATAGTTTCAAATGGCAACACTAACTGGAACAAAAGTTCGGACAATCGGTGAGCGGATCATTAGTCATTAAGGGATTCCGATTTAGGAGCACAGAAAAGTCGGTTGGGGCAACCATAGATGTTGGATTTTGCAAGTTCACCAATAAGCTTGACGGTTGCTTGACGGTTCCTAACGGTCTCAACTATGACGTTTAGTTGTTATGTGGTGCGCGTTTTATCATAGAGAGCAATTGTTTATAGTTAGCTAAATGAACGTCCAACCTAGTGGGCAATTTCACCAAGTTCACTAGACCAAGAGTTGCAAGAAATGTTGTGCCTTGTCTATCGAAGTTCTCTGAGCACACAGAAAAGTCCAGATAGGAAGTGAGAGTGCATCAGAAAGTTTCGTAAAATATCTGGAATTCTCTATACTTACTTAGTACCAGAAGCACTGACTACTACGCGCGAACGAGGTTTGCAACTTGACATATGGCAGCTAATCATTTATGTTGATTATTCCCCGATCACAGTGGTAGATGTTGACCTTGATTTGTTAACTTATGTGATAACAGCCCTACACGATTTCGATTACCCATTAAGCGATCAACTTTTGAAAAAAATAGGATAACGTCAATTTCTTTCTATATAAATCCACAGTAATCTGATGTAGAACGTTTGTTGAGCGATAAAACGTAAGGTTGATTCAGATGCCCCGTCCTTGCCAGTGGCGATCATTGGGCTACGAAATCTATGGTGTGTACAAACACTGGATAAATTTTTGGAACGTGAGTAGAGCAAGGTTTTGAATGTATCGATTCAGCAATCACGTTATTAGTTAGGTAGAAAGCAATACGAGTTTCCCGAATGCGGACTGTAAAACTATAGAATGTGAACAAACAACCGCTTTTCACTCTCCGTTTCCTTTATTTCATCAGATTAATATTTATCTTTATATGTATGCTTGCTAATCTAGTTGAATAGGTAGCATATGATTTGTTTTTCAATTTAAAAGATTTTCCATTTTTTGATTTCTGATGCACATGTGGAACCCCATCCCCTCAAGCTTCACGCATATCGATCATTAATTAGAACCGATCTCTATGGGTCACGGGGTTCAGAGTTGTTTGGACGTGACTTACCGGTTCGCATTCCGTGCACAATTGGCTAGTGGGATCTGTTCACTACTACCGCCCCTACTCCCACCATACACACAGACTTAGTCCTATATCACTCACCATCGCCACCACCACCACCGATCTAACCTCACTTTATCCTCTTGACTCCCTCCCCTGTGGTTCGCATGCTCGTCGTTAGACTGAAACGGTGAACTTCAGGCTCGTTAGCGATATGAGTGTGAGGAATTTGCGTCATCGTGTCATAAGTGTGAAGTTATGAACGCTAATTGCAAACATCGAGCCTCAATTTTGGAAACTCATCCTTGAACGAGCATCTAAACCAGAATGTTTGCAAGGATAGGTTATTGAATGAAACCCAACGCTTCGTGGAGAACAACACCGTCACTTTGTTTGTCTGTGTGTGCGTGTGTGTGTGGATCCTATTCCCGCAATGCAGAGCATTGTAACAGACAAAGGACAAAGAGGGATGGATTCAGCGGGACCGAGGTTAGTTAATCAGATCACAGTTGGCGGGACAGAATGGGAGAGCGAGCCATTCGTACATTCAGTATTACGAACAATCAAGAATAATAAATTGTTTTCATGTGCTAATGATATTGCCAGATCTGAGGATTCTCGAATCTATTTACTCTGCTTTGTGGTTGACTGACACCTTTGGTTCACGAATCTGCGAGATCACTCCCACAACTTGAGAAACAATCACTGTGGTTCTCAGGTTATCAAAGTCCTGCTGCAGCATGGTATCATTCAATTAAACGGAAACGTTCAGCTACGACTTATGCATGTGAAATGAGCACATCTTTAACGATTTTGCAGATCTTCTGAAAAGAAAAAAATACAATATTGGGGCACATAAAATGCGTAGTGTATTATTCGTCCCTCAAAACAGACCGTAGTTGGGTAAATTTCAAAAAGCCACCAATACGGCACCCGTGTTTGGGGACGAGGGACCGTGTGTGCAAAAAGGGAAATGAAGATTAGGACGTGTTGGAGGATTTCACACAAGCTCACTTGTTCTCTTCATCGTGAGTTTTCTTGTCTATACACCTACCAAGTGCACCCCGATGTTTAAAGTCAAGGACACCGGAGAAAATACCACCAGGCAAGAAGTGTTCCGGATTTTTTTTAAATGTGGTGAAAAATATTTTTCCTCCACAGGCGATAAAACATGCGACGAATCAGTGTGACTTGTCGGGACAGTCGATGATAGTAGAAAGATTTTGGAGGACAACCAGTTTCGTGTGGCCCGTTATCCATCAAAACGCAACCTGTGAAATTTGAGAAAATAGTTTCAACGTGAAGAAAGAAAGAAAGATTTTTGATCAGATTGAGTTGGCAAGTAGATCGAACTATTTGGATGCGACTTGTGATATCAATCAACTAAAATACTGTGATAAAGAAATGAGAGAAAAAGAACGCAAGGACAGTTACTGACGTTGAGTACGTACCGGAAACATGTTATGAAGTTACTTTGAGTTATCGGGGAGAGAACGAAACCAGCAAGCGCCAGATAAGGGGAAACCAAATATCAAATCATCAGCCTCTCGCTATTATAAACACTCAATATAAATGGATGAAAAGAGAACGATGCACTATAAACCAGTAATGTAGGTAAATTAAGTATGGCGTGCGAATTATTCAATCAAAGCATAGAGGCGGGGTCAAAAANAAAAGAGAACGATGCACTATAAACCAGTAATGTAGGTAAATTAAGTATGGCGTGCGAATTATTCAATCAAAGCATAGAGGCGGGTTCAAAAATACGTTCATTAAATAGAACGAGATAACGCCGGTTGATAAAGCGGCAACAGTCACAAGATCGGTGCCTAAAAACTGATTTAAACGATTACAACCTCATTTTTACGTGGACAACTCAATCTGGCATGGGTGGTGGCGATCGAGTCGTAAAGGTCCTCAAATACTTGCCTTTGAGGAAGGTGTTTTCGAATCCCAGTATCATCACCCGACGTTCCTCGTCATATGTTGTGTGACAAGAAGAGTGAAAAGGAAAGAACTACCTAACGACTCAACTGAAAGTCGTTATAGGAATCAAGGAGAAAGTGATTCAGTCAGGCAACACTAAAGTGTAGGTATTTGGTCCATAATTTTTCGAGCCTATCTGAGGAATCGGTATTTATTTCGACTAACGTTCTAAAATTTGGAATACTCCCACAGGAACAACACAGGCGAAAAGACTCCAACACAACCAAAGTAGGATTCTTAGTACATAAATACCACAGGTAGAATAACACCAGATCAGGGTTTCAGGCTTTGTTGACTCTGGAACCACTTGGGTCACTCATTCTCAGTGGAGTTCAACCGGAAACTATCTCTGTAAAAGAGGATGAGATTTGATATGAAAGAGCCTTATCAGGCACAGTTTCAATGATACACAGTGATTTACCAAAAGACGCGGTAAGTGTCGACTTCTTGTGATGGTTGTGCTGTATAGATTGTTGTCTGCTCCCGTGTGTGTTCCACGGAGACATGTCAGTAAAACTCTTGCAAGTTGTTTCATTCGGTTGGTTAGGAATCACCAACGGTGCATGTCTGCTGTTCCTACTATGATTCCAATCCAAATGTGAGAGGAACTGGAAGTCTCGCACGCTCCTAGGTTAATACTGCCTGCTGAGTTGCCAGGTGTCACTGCTACAAGAACGAGCAGCAAGCATTCAACTGCTACCGTCCAAATGGAGCTTTTCAGTGTCCAGTAGTCAAAAAAGGATGGGCGTTAATTAATGTGGTGCTCATGTGAAATCGACCGATCGGCTTCGTGATCACATGTGAAATCACAACTCTGCATGTTGTTCGTCAGACGTTCAATGCACAGGCAATGTGGACTATCATTAACAAAGACGAAATCGTCATACAGTACTTTCAAGGGTTCGCTATTGTACGTATGATCTGTTGAGATTGAATGTTCAATAATTTTCCAACTGTTTACATTGATACCACTCGTATAAATTGTTTCTGACATCTTTTTAAAGTGAAGTGCAGACATTTCGTGATATTTTCTTTTATAAATAACTGATAGAAATAAAGCGACAAAAGGACTCCACTGTGTTCGGTTAACATTTTATATTGTCGTTGCACGTGCCCTCAGACAGGAACAGAAAATCTAATTTTCAGTGAGTGGTTACTACCAGCACACACATACTTGCTTTTCAGTCATTCATGAAATGATGTTGGTGTCCACCAGCAACTTGTCTGGACACGTTCGAACCTTTTCGACCGGGAGATTCTCCACAGCCGAGGACGACAGGGTTACCATTCCTTGTCATGGGAACACTCGCATTCGGATCACTTCTCTCTATGCTATCGGGGATACTTCATTATTGAACAAGATCGGTGACATGGAAACGCAACGAAACGCAGAGCGGAACGGACCAGTGTTGTTTGGTCAAGCCAATTTTGGTCCACCCCCATCCGGGTCTCCCGTATCGTCCGCCGACCTTGCATGCATGTTTGTCACCTGATAAATGGCTGTGAATAATTCAGGAGCTCTCACCAAGCTACAACTATTAGATATCTGATGAGAGTTGCTACCTAAGGAACCCAGTCGAACAGAGACAAATTCATTCAGCAAACTCCGCAGGATATGTAAACTGGTTTGTCGTGATATGCTTTCTTACCCCTCCTCCACCGTTGTGCCAGAAAGACCACCAGCTTCGTCAAACGCACACAAATACACTCCATTTTTTACATCTACAGTTTGCAGGAATATAAGTGAGATCCATCGAACTGTTTAACATAAAGCCAAGCTACTTTAAATCAGTCCAAAACGTTTTCAATCTATTCAGTTACAATCAGTACTAGTCATCTAATTGATCTGTTATGGGATCGAGTATGAGACCGAAAAGACAGGCCTCATGTGTATTGTGCTCCCACGTCTAAAAAATAGATAAATCTGATTCTATTCTGAGAAATATTTTACTCTATACTACTATATTATGAGTAACGAGAGTGAATCCCGTAATCATCACCACGGTTCCGTTATCCTAATCGGTACGAGAGATAAACGACGAATGCTCCTCTCAAAAAAGTGATCTTTGTTGCTCACTATCAAAGCTGATAAAGAAGCCTCAAGCACAACTTGATATCACAGAAACATAATAGAGAGTTCAGTTTAAACGACTGAGTACCTCTGAAAACATGGATAGTATCACGTGAGCTTCAAAATCTCAAATGGATTTGTGAGAAGCATCCGCAACTAGGCCAACGATTTCTCATACCTTGAATGCAACTCGTGGTTTAGAAAGCCAGCTGGAAATGGAAACGTGGCCAAAGGTTTAGCAGAATTTCTGTTACTCCAGTCATTAAGCATCGATCAAAACCGAATGGTAATTCTCCCTTATGCATGTGAGGACCACTTTATCACCAGACGGCAATAAAACTCCTCCTATATGTCCTATATCAGTTCAAAAACAGATACTTATGCTCCACACTGGATGCCGTTGCGCACTTTGCGACCTCTGTAGCCTCGGCACTAGATGGAAAACACCTGCTTTACCTTGACTACAACAATCCAACAATAATTAGCTCGACAGAGCTAATTTGCTGGATGTCTTCAGAAGAAACGTATAAATCCAAGCATTTGACGGATCGTACTCCGTTATTTGACTGGTAGTACGTTTTTCACACAGTACCTTGGCCAATTTTCTGAGTCTCTCCCTATTGACTCGGAGTCAACACAAGGCATCAATCTTGCCCTATTTCAATTTTCGTCAGTGAAGTTCTATTTGTTCTGTCAGTTTGAGTTCAATGTGTAGACGATGTAATACATGATCTTAAACTTCTATGACTCAAAACATTATCTGAAGTCAAGATGAGACTTGATGAAGTCATCAGGTGGTACCTATCTCGTTTGCTTATTCTAAACACCTCTTCCTTTACAACGCAATGAGTCACGCCAGATTCCAAAACCGGCTTTTCTTCTCCTTGCCTATGGACGATCACCCAAACATCTCCAAAATGAAATACCTGGGGGTGGTTTTCAAACTCATTGGCTTCCATGATTCAGGCACGTTCACGAAATATTCCTTAAGAATAAAAGACTATCATTTTATTCCCTCAGACTGATGTGCTTTCCATCCCACGTAGTTGAATCCTTGCGATTATGAATACTTGCTCCTACTATTCAACACTTACTTCGCCTGGTGTCATTGCGGAGAATTTCATTGTTGGAAGATTTATGAATCATCTATCAAAATGCATTAGAATTCCTAGACTGATCATTGTAGGAAATCTTGAACTTAGAGACGTTTCACATACATCGAATAAGAAAATGCATAGAGCCCTATCCTCGTCCGCCACCCCTGCTGGATTTACAGTTTTACGATTCCTTAATTCTTGTTAGCGCAATTTCATTGTGCTCCTTAGCTGACGCCAAAGAGTACCCAATGAAATGCATGCAACTTACCCTGCTTAACTAATTTCACTTTCCCCAGCTTTTTATCCATTCTTGAACCTAAAGTTTCATTCAAAATAAACACAGTAAAACGCGGAAAATTCACCCAACAAGGGTAGATATAGCTTATATTTGAATGAACGTGAAGCGTCCGAAGTCACTTTCACTTTCCATTACACAGTTGCATCGAATGCAATCAATTTAATTAAGATGGACTGAAGGTGCGTTACATGGGAGGTACTGTATAGCCCGTTTCCGTTTCGGTAGTAGTACAAAATCCGTGGTCGTAAAAGTTGTGGTCTACATCTAACTTCCGTTTACAAAATCACGAATGTGATCGGAAATGCTTTAAACAAAAGCGGTAAAAATCCTTGTTATCATTTCTCGCCACCCAGGCTTTACTTTTATTCAATTTCAGTGCTCTACTTGAGAACAAAGTTTCAGGATTGTTTAAAAGTGTAAATTAGATGGAACGTGTATTGTTGGGAAGGTTCCTACTGCTCTCTCGAGCCTCTGGAAGATTGTAAGTAGTGGTCACTCTTCGACTATGTAGAAAACAGTATTCGCGAAGAACTTTCTTTTCGATATATCGTATCAAGCGTTTACACATATAAGATCGTAGTACAGATGTTTGATTGGCTGATTAGAGCTTATTCAGTAACGATGACAGGGGCGAACAACCAGAGCAAACGAATATGACAAGGCTATTGATAGTTGTATGCAGGGAGTGAGAACAAAAAGGTCAAATGGACAATGTTCGAAAGATGAGCAGATTAAATGAAGGTTGTGAGCTGAGATGAGAGAGCGCGATGAAGTTACAGTAGAAACTATAGGTCATGCATAGCAAGAGATGTAATCAGGAAGGAACATTAGAGACAAAAACAGAACAATTAGTTCTTAAGATTGAGGTTGATGATACTAGAGGAGGGAAGGACGTTGGGGAGGGGGGGTTGACGCTCTATTTTATGCACAATCAATCCGCTGTCCAGACCAGAGCAACAACAGTGTCTGGATCATCCTCTTTCACTTACATAATTCTGGATTGAAAATACGAATTGCAATCGCCTCGGCCGTGGTTAAAAGCCACCTTCCTTTCCCCTTACAATATCTCCGGGGTATGGTGTGAATAATTTTGAACGCATCCAATTTGTTCACAAAATATCCGCTATCAATGAGTTGACCGTGAACCGATCTGTGGGTACATCTAACCGTTCCTTTGTAGAGGGCCACAGGACCGTGCTCAGTAATACGTTTTGATAATCGCCTGGTCGTATATGAAATGTATCGCACACTACAAATGCACGTGAAGAGATATAAAACGAAGGATTTGATGGTACATAAAGGGCCGAGTGGTAGTGAGGACATACGGTTGAGCTACAAGGAAGGTTCTGGAGACCACGTTGGACAAACGTCCTTTGAGAATTTCCAGGGCATTGTCACGCTTAAAAGTCACGGTAAGGAAAACGTTCTTGTGAAGAACAGTCGGGCTTTTGTTCGTGTTGTTCTTCAAACGTGTATGTTTATCAGTAAAAGCTTCGGGGTAACCATTTGATCGAATTACGTCATGAATAAAACGTATCTCGAATTGCAGTGTATCCTCGCTGCAAATTGCACGCGTTCGGTATGATAAACATCTGACCAGGTTGCATTTTTATTTCAGGGGGGGAAAGCTATAAAATTGCGTATTCTGTCCAACCCACGTTGTTTTGCTGAAGACGATTTTTTGGATGGCAGCGCGTCTCGCTCTAATAATAACACATCTAAGAAAGGTAGCTGTTCGCTCTTCTCTAATTCGCAGGTGGAACAAACAGCCGGATTACACTTGTTGAATTCGTCGAGAATCTGTGTGTTGCTAATGTGAGAATCATAGACGATAGAAGTATCGTCGAGGTATCTGCAATAAATGCCAAAATGTCGAATTATCTCTCTCAAATTTTCGTTCTCCAGCTTGGCTAGGAAAGGCTTGATGCGATATATTGAAAATAAATTTCTTCGCGAATACTGTTTTCTACACTGTCTATGGGAATATTTTCCTCTTCGATTATCTTAGATTTTAACCGAAAGACCCAGGTAAAAGAAAAAATGCCGGCTCACAAACGCTGTTCACTCAGGGGAAACAGGAGACTGATAAACGTGACGAATAAACATTGGATTGAATTGATGTGTTGCTCTTCTGTTGATAACTAAGACTTAAGAGTCGATTCTACAGGTAGTAAAATTTCAGTGCCTTTTTTCACTTTTCAATATCTTCTAAAGTGAGTACCTTCAAAAAGCTAGTAAGATTATACTTTCAGTACTCCAATTAGTAAGTTATGCAACGGGTGTGTTTGTTAGTTTGCATACCCTTTTCAATGCAGAAAAGATAATTTTCTCAGCGTACAGTGCTGGTCTTACGCATCAGTTGACGGGTAANGCAGTGTGGTGTTTGTGCTGAAATAGGGGTTCAAAGTAATTAAACTCTCTTGAGGTTGCGTCTTCATTAAGGGGTCACACCATGACCTTTGGGAGCAATTATTATCACCGATTATGAAGTTAGATGGAGTCAAATGACACGGGACCATTTGCACAGACTAACATACAGTTCTTTTTGCTGGCACAGGGGGGGCTTCCATCGATTAATCGCAATT